TTAGATATTTCATGAAAACTTAAGCGTGATCATCGCACTATTAAGAGATTTGTGGCTGATTCAGAGCACAGACGGGTTCGTGCAGATAAAGGCACATCAAGGAAGATTTCTGCCAGATCCATGCATCGGATCAAGAGAGCAGCTGCTAAAATACCATTACATAGCAGCAAACAGATATTTGAAGCTGCTGGTGCCTCTGGAGTCCCACGGACATCAAGGTGTAGAGTCCTGCAGAGTCTTGCAACTGTGCATAAACCTTCTATTTGGCCACCACTAACCAATGCTCACAAGTAGAAATGGCTGCATTGGGCAGAAAAATTAATGAAGGCTAATTTTCAAACAGTCCTGTTCACTGATGAGTGCCGTGCAACCCTGGATGGTCCAGATGGATGGAGTAGTGGATGGTTGGTGGACGGCCACCCTGTTCCAACAAGGCTGCGACGTCAGCAAGGTGGTGGTGGAGTCATGTTTTGGGCCGGAATCATGGGAAGAGAGCTGGTCGGCCCCTTTAGTGTCCCCGAAGGTGTAAAAATGACCTCTGTAAAGTATGTGGAGTTTCTGACTGACCACTTTCTTCCCTGGTACAGAAGGAAAAACTATGCTTTCTGTAATAAAATCATCTTCATGCATGACAATGCTGCAGAGAATATCTCTCCATCAATGGATGCTATGGGGATAAAAGGAGAGAAAGTCATGGCGTGGCCTCCATCCTCCCCTGACCTCAATCCTATTGAGAACCTTTGGAGCATCCTCAAGCAAAAGATCTATGAGGGTGGGAGGCAGTTTACATCCAAACAGCAGCTCTGGGAGGCTATTCTGACATCTTGCAAACAAATTCAAGCAGAAACTGTCCAAAAACTCACAAGTAGAGATGTCGCGAACCGTCTGCTGACACATCCCGGCCAATCTCCAGCATTGGAACATGGATGCTGTCCAGGAAGTAGGAGGGTCTGGGAGGGAGGGTCTGCTGGAGATTGGCCGGGACGTGTCAGCTGACCGGAGTTCGCCACGAACAGCTCGTGGCGAACCGTGGCGAACCGTTCGTGAGAAGTTCGCGGACGGTTCGCGACATCTCTACTCACAAGTTCAATGGATGCAAGACTTGTGAAGCTGCTACCAAATAAGGGGTCCTATGTTAAAATGTAACGTGACCTGTTAAAATTTGTAAAAAGTTAAAATGTTGTTATAGGTTTGATTGAAATAGCTTTTGATTTCAGTAAATATGCTGCAAACACAACAAATGCCAATCTTCAGTTCTTTACAACCTATAAAGTGTTTTGAAACTTACTGTGCATAATAATTTGGAATAGTGCATTGTAAGTTTTTTATGTTTAAAGAAAATACTGTTATCATTAGGAGGTTTGTTCAATAAAATTTGAATTGTACTCTTAATAGTTGATAACATGAGAATTATGCTGACTGTTATTTACATCAATTTAGGTAAATGAGAAAAATATAATTTGCATAATAATTTGGAACAAGGTGTATTAGCCAGGTTATATGCTCTAATCCATTTGATAAAGTCTGTTATGACAAAACGTGTTATGGATAATTGATTTTTGTGTATTTTAAAGCTAAATAAAGATTTTTTTGGTCACTTTTTGTTCCACTAATCTTTTTTAAATACACTTTTACTATTTTCTTCTCCTGGCTTTTTACCTACTAGTACTCCAAGACATCGTAGGTGGGGATCATACCACTAATGCTGATTACAGAGAGCAGTTAGCCTGCTCTGCACTTGTGAGTTTTATTTTATTTATCTATTCCTGATATTTTACTCAATGAGCACTATTAGTTGTCTCTTTTTACTCCTTTCCAGAGTGTAGGACATACCCATGATGAAAGACATCTACATATATATATATATATATATCCAATAAGTGGCGATTATACCGCTGTACATCCTTCACGCCAGAGCTAGTTATAAGCTCCTATAAATGTGAGTGTATTACCATCCTCTTCCATATAGCTTATATATTGGACTATACATATTGCACCATTGGTTCCCTTTATTTTCTGTCTTTCATAAAAGTGGACATACCTGGACAAAGACACCGAGGATATTATTCACAAGTAAGCACGCTACCCACTACTGGATCTGAGTGAGATCCTTGTTTTTGGGCTTTCCTTAGAATATTTATTGCTAATTTGGACTTTTTGTATCTGTGATTTCTGTTTTATATTGTTTCTTTCTCCCAATACTAGATTTGGTGCAGCCCTTATCTTCTTTCTTTTCATTTGTTTTTGTATCCAAAAGGGTTTGAGGGGGTCTGCCTTTCTAGGGTTGCTGCCTTTATGTTAATTAGCGCTTTCTCTTCTTCTCTTTTGTCTGTGTGTGTCTGTCTGCCTGTGACTCTGTGTGTGTGTGTGTGACTGTCTGCCTGTGACTCTGTGTATGTGTGTATGTGTGTGTGTGTGACTGTCTGCCTGTGACTGTGTGTGCGTGTATGTGACTGTCTGCCTGTGACTGTGTGTGACTGCCTGCCTGTAACTGTGTCTGTGTGACTGTCTGCCTGTGACTGTGTTTGTGACTATCTGCCTGTGACTCTCTGTGTGTGTGTGGGGGGGCTGTCTGGCTGTGATTCTGTGTGTGTGTGTGTGTGTGTGACTGCCTGTAACTGTGTGCGTGTGACTGCCTGCCTGTGACTGTGCGTGCGTGTATGTGACTGTCTGCCTGTGACTGTGTGTGACTGCCTGCCTGTAACTGTGTCTGTGTGACTGTCTGCCTGTGACTGTGTGTGTGACTATCTGCTTGTGATTCTCTGTGTGTGTGGGGGGGGGCTGTCTGGCTGTGATTCTGTGTGTGTGTGTGTGTGACTGCCTGTAACTGTGTGCGTGTGACTGCCTGCCTGTAACTGTGTGTGTGTGACTGTCTGCCTGTAACTGTGTGTGACTGTCTGCTTGTGACTGTGTGTGTCATTGTATGTGTGACTGCCTGTAATTGTGTGTGTGATTGTGTGCCTGTAACTGTGTGTGACTGTCTGCCTGTAACTGCTTGTGTTTGACTGTGTGTGTGTGGCTGTATTTGACAGTGCATGTATACAGTGGCATACTAAGGGTGTGTGTGTGTGTGTCTGTCTGTCTGCCTGTGACTCTGTGTGTGTGACTGTCTGCCTGTGACTGTGTGTGTGTGTGTTTGTGTGTGACTGTCTGCCTGTGACTGTGTGTGTGAGACTGCCTGCCTGTAACTGTGTCTGTGTGACTGTCTGCCTGTGACTGTGTGTGTATGTGAGACTGTCTGCCTGTGATTGTGTGTGTGCGTGTGTGTGTGTGCGTGACTGTCTGCCTGTAACTGTGTGTGTGTGTATTTGACTGGCAGTCTGTGACTCTGTGTGTGTGTGACTGCCTGCCTGTAACTGTGGGTGTGTGACTGTCTGCCTATAACTGTGTGTGTGTGTTTGTGTGTGTGTGTGATTGTCTGCACATGACTGTCTCTGTGTGTGACTGCCTGTCTCTGACTTTGTGTGTGACTGTCTGCCTGTAACTTTGTGTGTGTGACTGTCTGCGGGTGACTGTGTGTGTCAATATCTGCCTGTAATTGTATGTGTGACTGCCTGTAACTGTGTGTTTGATTGACTGCCTAAAACAGTGTGTGACTGTATGCCTGTAACTTTATGTGTGTGTGACTGTCTGCAAGTGACTATGTGCCTTGGACTGTGTGCACGTGGCTGTATTTGACAGTATATATATATATACAGTGGCGTACTACGGTGCCACTAACTAGGAGGGTGCCATGACTGCCAGTGCCATTATTCATCCATTGTTATACCACAACCGTGAAGGTCACTATTTGGAGGAGCAGTAGGAGGAGTGTGGAGCCGTGCAACATCACATCATTGTGACGTCGATGTACACCGCCTGTCTGTCTTGACGGAGTACCAGCAGTAGCGGAAAGAGCTGCTCTAATGCGAAGAGCGGGAGGCACCGAGATGGTAGAGTGGTAGAGTTGTTTTGAGGCCGGACCAGTGGTGGCAAGGGGGGTGGAGGAAAGGGGCAATTGTCCCCCACCCCCACACCCCCCTGAGAAAATAGTGAGGCTCTCGGAGGACCCCTAGTCACTCCTGGCACCAAAACCACTACAGAGAGCTGTAGTGGTTATTGTGCCTGGATTGTTTCTTTAAATAATCTGCCAGTGCCCCTCCCGAGAGTAGGTTCTGGACTGGACTAGGTGAAGATTTCCAGAGTTTCAGCAATGTGAGTGAAGAGTGGGCTCTGAAGACTAATACTAATATTGTTGTGTAAAAAAAATGAATTCTATTGTAAGGGACTGAGTAGGGGCTTCAGAGAGAGAGGTAGGGTTTTTTTTATGAAGTTGGGTGCAGGTGTTTTTTGGAAGAGGGTGAAGGAGTTTTATGGAAGGGGGTGCAGGAGGTTTGTAGAAGGGGGGCAGTACAGTGGTTTTGTAAAACAGGGGCAGAAGAGGCATTTTGTAGACTGGCGGGCAGAGGAGGGGTTTTGTAATAGAGGGCAGGACAGAGGTTTTACAAAGTTTACACATTTGTGTTATCTTTAAAAAATTTTAAAACATTGCAGGTGTTTTTTTTTTTTGTTTTTTTTTACATTGTGTGTTTGTAAGGGGGACAGGGGGGCTTCCAAACACCTTATCTGCCCTGGTTGCCAAATGCTCTAGGCACGCCCCTGGACAAATGATAATTAGAATTGTGGCTGAAAGAGCCAAACTCTTGGGGGAATCTGCCGTATATTTTCGCCTAATTTTTCATTTCAGATTTTAATCCTCTACAATTTGGCGTTCAGTGAATAAATCCCCAAATTAATGAAATTATTATTATTTCGTATATATTTACTTCTTCAAATTATGGATGAGCACTTGCTATAATTAAAAAAAAAAATGTAAATGACATTTATTGTTTAGTTTGTTCCACTCCTATCTGCTATTCTGTTACTCCAGCGGAATGTATTCCCAATCTCTGTATGTTCCAGTACTAACACAGAACACACAGATGATGTCCTGATCACATGACAGTCAGTCAGTCAGTGGAATTTGACTTGTGATCAGCTGGTGCGGCTCCTCCTTTGACACACTGAGCATGCGCAGAGCGGTCAGCCAGCAGGGAAAGACTGACACTGACTGGAAACCACCACACAGGTAGGTATTACTGCAGGTGGGCTGGCTGGGAGTAGTGAGAGTAGTTTAACCCTCTATAATGGGTGTCCGAGCCGATCAATGCTGGGACTCCCCTTACTGTCCGCTGTGAGGGCCCGGCAGGGCTGTGTGTCTGTGTAAATTGCCGCTATTGCTGCTATTATTGCTCCCCAGTAACACTGTGAGTGTGAGTGTCCCTGTGTTAGCCGTGATTATCGCCCCATGATGTAACACTGATCACAATGTACAGTGAGTGAGAGCTCCCCTCTCTCTCTGTAATACAGGTTACCACCCCACTATACCCCACTCTCTCAGTCCCAAACACGGTAAGTGTTCCGCTTTTGGCTGGTTACACTCTCCCCCAGTCTGATGAGAGTTAATTAGTACATAGCTGCCCTGTGTAAATGTTCCCCACCCAGGAGCCTCCCATGTGATAACAACCAGGAAATACAGTCTGAGTCATGTGACAGGGACAGGCAGAACACTGCCTTCACAGGAACCCACTGTGTACACACTGGCCACTGCTACTTTATAACAAGTACAATATCATAGCTTTTTATAAACTTAGGTTTCAATTCCCTGCTGGTTACAATCTCCTGATTTTCCTATTCAATGGATTGAAAATTCGTCAGGCTCAGATAGCATTTCTATTGGCCATTCTCTTAATGTTAGAAAAATTTAAATTAAATATTGGTCTCTTTGGAATCCTAATTTAATTTGCTAAAAACAGACACAAATATATCACTCTTAATCGCTTGCAGACAGGCAAGGTTATTCACTGAACAACAAATTTAAGCAAATGAGATCTAAATGGCAGAATTGAGGCTGATTAAGTGCCAAGAGTACTGTCATATTTAATAATATGAAAAGTACTTGGTGAAAAAGAACTGCTTAATAACCCGTTACTATGTCTTTATCAGTATCTGTGACTATGTATTTGCAGCTTTTTTTGCATTTGTATATTTAGAGCTGAGATTTGCAGACCTGTTTTTTTTTTTTTTTACTAATTAATGACAAAGTTGCAACATTTTATGTCAAATTTCTAGAGCTGCAAAACAAATTTCAATTGTGTTATTTTGGCTTACATTTTTCAAATGGTGATCATTTTACTTCCATTTCACCATTTAGTGGACAAGTTCAAAGGGATGACAAGTTCAAATAACAAGTAACTGCAGCAGAATGAGTAATAATCACTTGACCCACCCAACAATGAAACAAACAGTTTTTTTTGTATGTAGTGAGCCAGGAAGGTGTTTATGTAACACGAGCTGAAGTGAAATAAAACCAGTAACGTCCACACAGAGGCGTAGAGAGGGCACCTGTTCGAAGGGGTGTACTACTGACATCAGAGACAGACTGCCCCTGATGCAGGAGTATTGGGAAACAGGCCAGAATACCTGGACTAGCGCATCAGGAAACGCCTGAGATTTCCTTGTAATCCCCTCTATTGTGGGGCCAACTTTAGCTGCCATAGAAACTTTTCCTTAATCTACACATATAAAGTACACATGGCCTTGGAGGGGTGGATCAGCCAATCGCTCTCTCACAATGTGCCTTATGTTTTCCTGAAGGCTTCTGGGATGCTCCCATAATTCCTCGGCAGCCACGTTAGACTGCTTGTATATGAAGAGCAAGCAATTTAAAAAAACAGTGACCTAACTCAGTCCACACAACTCCTGACAAGGATGAACTTACATGGAAGTATCTAATGTGTGCAAACAATAGACAGGAATATCAGTAGGAGTATGAAATAATATGTAGTATCCAGCCATTGAACCAGCAGTATGTTCTTGATCTACATTTCAAACGTCTGCAAGGGACCAACAATCTGACCTTACTATACCTATGTATACACATCACAGTGAATCAATCATCATGGAAACACTTTATTTTAAACCAAAACTCCAGCTTTAAAAGTAAATACATTTAAAACCTGTGCTAGAGCATCGCTGGACATCCTCACGCTGTGTGAGGAGCTCCAGCGTTGCTCAGTTCTCCATAGGAAAGCATTTTCAATGCTTTCCTATGGGGAGCTCTAATGCCGCGCATGCGCATTAGGTCTCCCCGGCCGGTGGGCGGGATCAGTCTCGCCCACCGGCCGACATAATGACTGGGAGGAGCGGCGGCGAGCAGAAAGGAGCAGAGGGACATCGGCGGGGTCTCGGGTAAGTGACATGAAAGGGTTTTCACCCCTTCAGCTGCCGGAGATGGGGGGTGGGAGGGAGAGGGGACCTGCAGTTCCAGGAAAACGGATTGTTTTCCTGGCACTGGAGTTTCCCTTTAAGGGATTAAAGGACCACTCTAGGCACCCAGACCACTTCAGCTTAATGAAGTGGTCTGGGTGCCAGGTCCAGCTAGGCTTAACCCATTCTTTTATAAACATAGCAGTTTCAGAGAAACTGCTATGTTTATCAATGGGTTAAGCCTTCCCCCAAAGCCTCTAGTGGCTGTCTCATTGACAGCTGCTAGAGGCGCTTGCGTGACTCTCACTGTGAAAATCACAGTGAGAGCACGCAAGCGTCCATAGGAAAGCATTGATAATGCTTTCCTATGCGACCGGCTAGTGCGTGCGCATTCAGCCGACGGGGAGGAGAGGAGGAGGATCGGAGGCGGAGAGCTCCCCGCCTGTTGCTGGAAACAGGTAAGTTTTTACCCCTTTCCCCTTTCCAGAGCCGGGCAGGAGGGGGACCCTGAGGATGGGGGCAACCTCAGGGCACTATAGTGCCAGGAAAACTAGTGTTTTCCTGGCACTATAGTGGTCCTTTAAGTATTAAATTGTGTTTGGTGCTTAGAGTATCTCTTTAAGAGAAAAGAAAAGTTGGTGTAGCAGGGTTTTGCTTCATTGCCTTTTAAAGAACAGGTGCATAAAACCAGAACTATTGATTGCCCTTCCTTCCTTTTTTTTTTTTTCTCTTCTTTTTTTTAAAATTAAACTTAAAGTTAATTTTAGTTCTACTACTTGTATATGAATCTAAATAAATGCAAAATTGCAGCAGATCTAAAGAAAAAACTTTTTTTATATACTTGGTGTTAGAACAGTTTTAACCCCTTAAGGACGAAGCCAATTGTACAAGTTGTGATCCAAACAAAATGTAAACAAAACTTGGAATTTGTGCTATATATCTGTTCAACCATAATTCACCTGTTTCATATTATGTACACCCACACTTATTATATATCATTTTATTCAGGAAAAACAAGGCTTTCATTTAACATCAAATATTTAGCTATGAAACATAATTTAATATGAATAAAATATATAAAAAAAGTGAGACATTAAGAAATCTTGTTTTTTTTAGTTCTGCATGACATCTTAACAGTGAATATCATTATGCTGTTTGCTGTTACTGCAATAAAGTGCACATATTTGTATGCAGTGATGTTTTTTTACGAGTAAAACAGTACCCCCCCATGTACAGGGTTTATGGTATTTTGGAAAGTTACAGGGTCAAATCTAGCACCTCACATTGGTCAGTTTATACACATTGAAATTCGCCAGGCTGGTTATGTTACCTTTGAGAGCGTATGATAGTCCAGGAATGAGAATTACCCCCATGAGAGCATACCATTTGCAAAATAAGACAAACCAAGGTATTAGAAATGGGGTATGCCCAGGCTTTTTAAGTAGCCACTTAGTCATTTTCAATTTTTTCCTTTAATTTAATAATTATATACATGTATTACATTTATGTATATGTATTTTTATATTAATATATTTATATATTTATATAAAAGTAAAGTATGAAAATATATATATTTTTTTTTACATTTTTTTTTTCCTTGTGGGCATTACTAATCCTTTTTTTTTTTTACGTTTTCTAGCAGCAGGGGGACTGCCTGAGAGCCCAGGCAGTCCCCCATCAAGCATCTCTATAGACGCCTATTGCGGACATGTGATCGCTCTATGAGAGCTATCACGTGGCCCCTGAGGGCCTGATTCAGCAGGGGGGACTGTCTGGGCTGTCAGGCAGTCCCCCCGCCCGAAGCGGATCGCGGTGGAGGCAAGTACCTCCTAGTTCTTGGGGCTGAAAGCCGTTACGGTGTCCACTCCCTCTAGCATGTAAGCTCATCGAGCAGGGCCCTCAACCCCCTCTGTTCCTGTACGTCAGTGGTCTGATCTCAATTATGTGTCTGTTAGTCCACCCAATGTACAGCGCTACGGAATCTGTTGGCGCTATATAAATAATAAAATAATAATAATAACAGCTTAAACTGAAAGCTTTTTATCTTTTTTGCAAATTTTACATCCTCTCTATGACAATATAATACAGTGCACTTCGGTTGAAGAGTGTATAAACAGTTCCTTAAAGGGACACTGTAGGCACTATAACCATTTCATCTAACTGAATAGGTCATAGTACTTGTAGTACTCTGGCACTGTCCACCCAATCAATGTTTAATCATTTTCAAGCAAATCCTGTAAGAAATCATTGGATTGGCTGAGATTGTCTATTCAGATGATCTCAGCCAAGGAGGTGGGGCATTGATGGTGCCAAACTGGCCAATCAGCATTTCCTCCTAGAGATGCATTAAATCAGTGCATCTCTATGGGGAAAGTTTTTAGTGTCTCCATGAAGAGTATGGGGATGCTGAACATCAATGCTGCACACTGCCCTAGGAAGCACCTGGAGTAGCCACTGGAGGTGTGCCTAGGCTGTAATGTAAACACTGCCTTTCCTCTAAGAAGACCGTATTTACAACATAAAAACTGAAGGGACGAAGCATACTCACCAGAGCTACTATATTACCGTATATACTCGTGTATAAGTCGATCTCATGTATAAGTCGAGTGCAGTTTTGTGACCAACAATTGTGAAATATGCTATGCCTCATGGATAAGTCGAGGGTAAAACTTGGGGCTATGAAATTCTGTGATTTTTATAATTATATACACACACACTCATACAAACACACACTCTGCATTATATGTACACACAAACTCATACAAACACACACTCTGCATTATATATACACACACACTCATACAAACACACATTCTGCATTATATACACACACACACTCATACAAACACACACTGCATTATATACACACACTCTGTGTATATATTGCAGAGTGTGTATATAATGAAGAGTTTGTGTAGTGTGTGTGAACTGGGTGGGGGGAGGGCATTTTTATTATTTAAATTTTTTTAAATTTTAATATTATTTTTTTTATTATTAAAAAAAAAATTTGTCCCCCCTCCCTGCTTGTTAACCGGTCAGGGAGGGGGGCTATCTTAATCCCTGGTGGTCCAGTGGCATGGGCTGTGAAGTGGGGGGGCCGGCAGGAAGCATTTACTTACCTTTCCTGCAGCTCCTGTCAGCTCCCTTCTCCTCCGTTCCGGTCAGCTCCACTGTAAGTCTCGCGGTCTGGTTGCCGCGCGGATCGTTGCCATGGCTCTGACGGCCACGGCTCTCTAAGTTGCCATAATACAGACAGTGACTCGAGTATAAGTCGAGTGGGGGTTTTTAAGCACAAAAAATGTGCTGAAAAACTAGACTTATACTCGAGTATATACTGTAAGCATAGTTGTACTGGTAACTATAGTGTCCCTTTAATAGCATTAGACCAATATACAGACCTTTTAAAGAGTGGGGTGTTACAGATTCTAGCTATGACACTTATTTTGACATTAATGCTATAAGGGTTAATCTGTACAGTTGTCGATTTTGCAAACCTAGTGTAGAGATTAGTGCTATAATTTAATGACCTTTACCTAGGACTAGAGACGTAGCAACCACTTATTGTTTGTAAGGGCTTATTGTATTTAAAGAAAGAAAATCTCAAAAAAAGAGGCACTTGAACTACTTAATGTTTGTTTTATGAAACTATGGTTAAACTAAATTTGCAGCAACTTCCTTATTTAAGTTTACTCTTTCTGCAGGTGTGCTACCGGCACAACAGTCTCTTGGTCTGACCGCTTCTAATCAGAAAACAGTTTTAAGTTTCCAGCCATGTCTTACACTTCTGGTCAAGATGCAGGAGACCTTGTTCAAATCATATCAAATAACATCCAGAAGATATCAAAGAACTGTAAGTCATTCTTACATTTCCACATAATGATTTCCTATATTTTTTTATGGGTTTGATTGAGAAATACCGTAGAAATAATTTTCAGGTTACTTTTTTATGTTGGTTGGTGGTAAGATAATGAGCCTTGCACAGCAGGTTATTGAGTCTTACACCTGCATACTGGTGCATTGCTGGTTTGGGTTCTCAGCAGCAGCTGCCAACTCTGCCACTCTTCTCTTAGTACCTATAGAACTCCCTAGTCTCTGAAAATTGAGAGAGTGTTTGTGTATGCGTGCATAAATGAATGTAGGTATATGAATTGTGATTGTGTGTGTAGGATTTCCCAAACCAAAGGAAGTTCAGGTAAAGTGGAACTTCTACATTCCTGCAGTGACTTGGGTTTGGATGTCCAGAGTGCACCCAATCAAAGCTGTCTTGCATACAAATATAAAGAATTACAGACTGCACCTGCAATTTTCTGAAGACTTTCCTACGTAAACAATATAAAGCCTCTGTCAAGCATAATGTGTCTCATTTTAGTCGGCAAATAATTGTATCTATATACTGCTGTAGATGGTGACATTCTATAATCAAATGATCTGCAGATTAAAATGTTTAAAGAAAAGCATATTCATTGTTTCTTATTATTTGTTATATAAAATATGACATGTAACATGCCTTGTATTTTATTCTGTAATACATAAATATTAGTAAATATCCCTCTCCTGGGAATACCCTTGCTCATTAAGGCTGCCATCTTTATATAAAATGTCAAGGTTACAAAATGCATTTGAACAGTGTAGTAAAAAATATGAAGATATTAGTTTTTTAGAATGTCCTTCCAAACTGTCTACATTTTTTTTTTTTTTAGGTATTTAGGTCCAGATCTTGCTTCTGCAATTAAGTCGACCTGTCCTTTTTTTTCCCCCCTCTCTAACTTCCTTGCTTCTGCAGTGTGCAGTCAAATGTTTCTTTATAACATATGAGCACTTACCCAATATATTTTAATTATAACATTATTAATTACTGGGTGTTTTACAAATATTTGAGAGAACCCCAAAACAATAATGCTTGTTTTAAGGGTCCCAAAAATGCTGTCCAGATGAGGACTGGATGCTTAAAAGTATCTTTTTTTTTCTAGGATCTAGGCTGAGCTTTCTTGCTGATATTATCTGTAAACATTTTACTGCTCCGAACAGGGAGATCGGTGCTTGCAGCCCCACTCCTATATAATCTGTGGGCTGATGCTGTATACAATGGATATTTCTCTTTCGAAAGTGTGTAAGGATGCTGGGTGATTGACAGGTGTGGGAGGTGTAACTATGGCAGTAGAAATTGTGTAAGTCCTCTTTGGTCAGAGCTAATCTAACCAAAGACATGCAACAAAGTGAGACTAGTGTACATTAAGGAATCCTAATATTGTACGGTGTGCACTTGGCATACCAAAAACACACCTTGCCATCTGTATTATTCATTCAAATGGCACAAGATCCTTGGTTGGGTTAACTTAGTCTGATTAAAGATGGGTGTCACCATGCAGCAATGGTCAGCTAGGGCATACACTCGAAACAGGTGTTCACTTATTTTTGCTTCATAAAATATAGAAAAAGATATTACATGCAGTCTACAGCCTTCTGTGCCGGTCCACACCTCCTTTTTGCTGAAAGGAGAGCCAGAAGCATCTGCCTAGAATGCCCTTATTGTACACAGTGAGCTAAGCATCTGGCAGAACGCAGGTGTGGAGTAACACATAAGAGACCGCTGGCAAGAATGTAAACAATTTCTAGAGGTTGTTATGGTGCTTGGAGTATTCCTTTAACCACTTCACTACCTAAATCAAGGATAAATGTTTTTATTTTCTTGTGTTTTACAGAATGAAATCTAGTCCCATATAATACCTGTAAATTTAATGAAAATGTAAGCTCACCCCTGCTTTCAAACAGTACAAGACATTTAAATGGGCCAGATCATCTCTTTACCATTTAACTGTTGTCATTACATAAGCATTCCAGAGATTGATGAAGTTTTGTTGTTATGGGCATTATCACTATAGCAGTTTTGAATTATAAAAATATATGTACTATATTTACTGTATGTGGGCATTATGCTCAAATGCAAACATTGTTTATTTTTGTCACATTTACTGTATGAGAAAATGTTTTTTGCTTTTATAGTAGTACCATTTCAGACCATGTGTACATTATAAAGCACACTGTATACTATTTAAAGTCTTTTTATTTCAGATTTTTTTGAAAATTAAAATTGTGTTATTTGCATATTTAGATCCTTTTATTTTTTTTTTCTGCAAAGCCGCTTATACACTACTTTATTGCGTTGTGATATGTTTATATATTAACAATAGTAAAATATATTGATGGTTTTAGTTAGCTGAGGCCTCAATTTAATATTGTTGAATAAGGATTCCAAGTGATTTATTTGCTTAAGCATTACCTATCTCGCAAACATTCTGCTGCTGTTAAGCAGTATTAACTGTACAACTATGTCACCTGTAGCCATACTTTTATTATTTAATGGTATGTATTCTACAACAAAAATTGCAAGATATATGAAACCAAATGTTATCCTAAAAGGAGAGCCGTACTCCGCTCTCACTTCCAGCTCTACTACTTTTCCACCTTGTTTGGTGACTGTCACCCTTGCTGCCCTGTTGTGTATTTGTACCCCACCTCCTTTAGACTGTAAACTTGTCCTCATCAACCTATTGTTCCTGTGTCATTGTGAAATTGTCTCATTTATTGTAAATTTCCTCCACTTTCATATTATTGTAAAGCGCTGCGGAATTAGTTGGTGCTATATAAATACCAATAATAATAATAACATTATAATTGGTATAGCAAAATGTATGTTTGTAATATTTCCTGTAGACTTACTAAAAAATGTTTTACTCTGTTTAACTTTTAGCTTCTGAAATTCAGAGAATAGTGAATCAGCTTGGAACTGTTCTAGATACTGCAGAATTAAGGAATGAACTGTAAGTATTTACCTGTGGCCTCAATGTATTCATTGTTTTGTCAGCATTAAACGAACACTTCATGCACCATAACCACTACAATGTGATGTAAGCATTCAAACTGGTTTAGAATGGTTTGACTTCTAACCTGGGCCATGACTCTTCTCTTCCACTCTGCAGTGCAAATCCGACTCATTGGATGAGAGGATCAACTGTTTGTTCTCAGCCAATGAGCTAGGTCAGACAGTTTCCTGCGCTATTGAAGGCAGGAACTGACGCCTGGCCTTCCCCAATTAAAAAGGGAAAGGAACACAAACATGTATTGTATAGTGTTAAAACCACCATCTAGTCCCCCCTGTCCCCCCCTGTTCCCTACTTGCCCCCCCATAATATAGCAAAATCTTGCTTGTATTCCAGTCTACTTCTGCTGGCACTGCCCCTGATCTGCCTGCTTGGCTGACCTCATCAGAAGTGATTCTTTCAGCCAATCACATTGGCTAAGCCTGTCAAGGAGGCAGATCAGGGGAAGAGACAGTGCAAGTGAATTACAGCCATGGCCAATCAACAGCTCCTATTAGGAAAGTTCTCTATGAGGAAAGTTCAGTGTCTCCATGCAGAGGGTGGAGACACTGAATGTCAGTGCTGCACAGTGTGCAGCACTGCCCCAGGAAGCACCTCTGTTGAAACCCGTGTTAACGGCAAAAAGTCTGAAGGGAATGATTATACTCACCAGAACAAATACAATAAGCTGTAGTTGTTCTGATGACTATCGGGTCCCATTAAACATTCTAAAATAGTTTGTCTACTTAGATTGCATGCTGTAGTGTTCATGGTGTTCTTTCCTTCTTAATTGGTTCTTTTTCCTACCATTCCTTAGTAACAAATCTAAGGTCACATCCTATTTTTTTCTAGGCAATGCATGCAGTTTTACTTAGTACTGTACTCTTTTTACTGACGCTTATACTAGTTCTGTATCAACTTAGGAAATCCCCTACAAAAAAGATGATGTAGCGCTTATACAATGGAATAATCACCTTATGGTAAAAGGAAAAAACTATTCTCAGGAGGAAAAGTCCACAGCAATTTTAGTGTCTTTAAATGTAGAATAGAGAAGATTTCCACGATATTGTCTACACCTGTAAGAATAATGTAATATAGTGTAGACAGTACAAGCATATAAATAAGGTGTTTAAGGAATATTTGTACACTCATAAGCAGAGAGCTGTATACCTAGCTCTAGTGTTAATTGCTTCTGGGTCCGTTTAGGCGACCCACCCCTGCCTTGGATGTATGTTCTTATCCTAGAGGGAAATGGATAGGCACAAGATAGCGTAGTACAGTCTGTACTGTAGTTGTAAGATTAAAATGTCCCAAATGGGTACCTACAAACCGGGAGTCATCTCAGACTCTATGTACAGGCGTGGTGTAGTAAGGGACTACACTCCCATAACAGCATAAGACCGGGAACCAGGTTGTCCAAAATAAAAATAAAATTTATTAAACAATTAAATAAAAAGAATTATATAAATAATAAAATAAGACAGTGTCCTCTTTTTTATTTAATTGTTTAATACATTTTATTTTTATTTTGGACAACCTGGTTCCCAGTCTTATGCTGTTATACTGTAATTATTGGTGATAACAGAAAGGAGTCACTTGTATGTTTAGCTGCTAAATTGATAAAATTCTTAATATCTATTTAATATAATGTACTCGATTTATAAGCGCTAGTACCTACCCACTTTTAGGAAATCCCCTGACTATCCCAGAGCAGCATTACATTTAGATATTTGGTGCTCACTCAACAGCTAATATGAGCAATTAACTTTGACCTCCCTACTGTTCCCTGTCAGCCTTTTTGTTCTTGTCTTAAAGATTTTACATGCTAATTGACTTTAATAGATGTATGAATTACCTGACACAGCTGTTCTCTTAATGCCTTTGGACTATAAACACTGTGTTGCCGTCAAGATTTTTTCATAAAGACCAAATTGCATGTTCTTTTGTAATTGAATAAAGAATTTCAGCATGAACTATGCAGAAATAAAGTTAATTTGACTAGAAGACTCAATAAACCATAACACAGACTGTCAGACAAAGATCGATGGGTATGGGGACAGAGAAATAAAAAAAAAATTAAATGATTCATAAATGTTTTACCATTTAAAGAAACATGCATATTGCCAGAATCAGAACCATTATAGCTTAATGTAGGGGTTTCCATGCAAAAAGACTATCCCTGCAGTCTCCCAGTTGCAAACACAGCCTTTTCTGTGAATATTTGGCACTCCGTTTATGGCCCTGTAATCTTGGCAGGACCAACATTCAGCGTCTTTATGCTATGCATAAAAATGTTGAATTCTTTCCATAAAGTTGCATTGGGATAAAGCATCTCTATGAGGAGATGCTGATTGGTGCAGCAAGGTAATTATTTGACCTAATCATTCTGTCATACCAAACTAGCCTTTAAAGAATAATCAATATAGAATTAATACAGGGCTGTGTAAAGCTTCAGCAAGTTTATTTTTTTGTTTAATATGTGTGATGAGCTAGTAAGACTGTTTGTTTTGTTTTTGTTTCATAGAGCTGTGCTGGAATTGTTTTGCACATTTTGTCCTAAACTTAGCTATTTTAAATTTACTCTAATTTTACGTTTAGTAAATAAATCCAACACTTCCATTTTAGAAACAGTGATGCTGTAACGGAATGAGTTAGATCGTCGGCATCAAACAATGTTCATTGGCTTGAATGATATTTTGTGAGAAATGGCTTCTCTTTTGCCACCCTAAACCACAACTTGCACTTTAAAAAACGCAAAATAGCTGTTAAATGAACGTAATCACTAGTTACGCATTGGTCTTAGTCAATTAATTTTACATAACAACGCAAGGTTGTATATACCAATCATAAAATAATTAACAGCTTGCACACATTTTGAAAATATTTAAATAATAACAATAAAATATTTACTTTTACAAATTGATCCACAGCATGGTGTCACATAACCCCCACTAAGGAAAAGACGTCCCACGTGGATGTCACGTGATCGGAAGACGTAAGAAGCATAAACAAAAGAATGACAGAGTATACCATCAAATGGATGCCTTGCCATCTGTCTCAATGCCAATGTGATAACAATGGAGTACTTTCTTTTGGATGTGCTTCTGGTGTCTTGTGATCATGTGACATCCATGTGGGATTTCTGTCCCTTGATCAGGGTGACAATATACTGATAACCATGCTGTGGCTGTGTTTGGTAAATTAAATTTTATTATTTAAATGTTTTTCTGTGTGCTTTAATTATGTTTGGGTGGGAGTATACGCAACACTGCTTTGTTATGGTAAAATGATTTGACAAAGACCACGATCTCTGGCCGTAATGTTGTCATGTTTGCTTGTTTCTATTAAAGTCTTCAATAATTTATTTTTTTGTGTGCCTGGATCCTCTGAATATTGTTCCAATCAATGGCAGAACAGTATGATATTTGCAGTGTCTTGGTTGTGCCGTCTTTCATCCACTTCAAAATCACAATGTTATATGATATGTGTATGGCATTCTTCAATATCGATTGTTATTTGTGTCCTGCAAAGTAAGGTCCTGTTGAACTTTTTCCAAATGTGTGCCATAAATAGATAGCCTTGTATTAATACAATTAAGAAAGATTCTATAGCTGGGGTCTCAAGGTTGGTGTACATATGGGCCACTTGCCTGGCCATCATCTCCCAGATTTGTACTGTCAAATTTGCTGATGTACACACAAATCCATTTTTCCTTACACACACGGCACTGATAGTTCCCACAATATCAAATATAGAAATTAGTTATTAATTACGTAAATGATTAAAATAACAGGTTTTATTCTGTACAGATTAAAAGGTATGTTATTGACGACTAGCCTTTGAAGAAAAACCCTGTTGGAGCTTTGATGTAACTGGGTTCTCTCATGTAGAGAAATTAATAAGGTATATCATCAGATCATGGATTACATGATCATAATACTTTAAACTGGGTTGTGTGTAAACCTTAAAACATTGGGTGTATTTTTGACCATTGTTTCCCTTTCTCAGTGTTTGTTGATATTTTAAGTAATTTAATGGTTTTATTAATGCATGAAATAGATTTCAGTTATGGGTTTGTTTGTTTTTTTTAGGCAGCAGAAGGTGCAGGATACAAACAAGATTGCCAAAGATACAGATAAATACTTGAAAAAATTTGCCTCTTTGCCATCGGATATTGATCAGGTAGGTTAATTTGACAAAACAAGCAGTTTGTAATTGACATTTGACAACGTAACTGTTTTTTAAAATTGTAATACAATGAAAAGATGTTGCTGCATCTTAAATGGAGTTGTGTTATTTTAAAGCACTATTGCTATTAAGACATAAGTAGTAGTGAGAGACAACCGGTCAAATATCGGAGTGATACCACTAATAATTTCAATTTTACTCAATGTAATTTTGATACTTGGGAAACTAGCTTTTTCTTCATCTTTCTTTCACTTACCAATTGGGCATCCAAAACAGAATATATCTCCTGTATAGGGTCATATGTGAACACACAAGATCTATCTACCAAACAATTTAATAAAAGCCAAAATAGTGTAATACGTCATTATATTTGTTAAAATGACATTTTCAAGGTTAATCTCACAGATATAGGTGAGAATAAAGGCTCATCACATATTATGGTGTTTCTTGTCTGTAATGATCACTCATTGGGGTATATCTTAAGAGAGCTTGCAAAGGCTGCAGATCTTATGAACTGCAGCTTTTGTAAGCACTCCCCTTTTTTCCCTGGAGGAAACTTTGACTTGGTGCTCACGTTCACACGCATACTGGCTTGTGCACCATTGCGTGCACGTGTGCTGGCTCGTGTACTTGCGTGCGCTGTAGGTAGGAATTCTCCCTGGCTATTTGACAGAGGTTAAACTAGGGTATTCCTCACCCATAAAGCACTTCAGCAAGCTGAATAGTGTAATACGTCATTATATTTGTTAATGCATCCAGATAGTAACATATATTATTTTTGTATATTTTTCAGCGGCAGAGAAAATTACAAAAAGATAGACTTGTGAATGAATTCTCTGCAGCACTAACAAATTTTCAGAAGATACAAAGAAATGCTGCTGAAAGAGAAAAAGAGTTTGTTGCTAGAGTGCGTGCAGGATCCAGAATATCTGTAAGTAATAATATCTTCATGTGAATTTAATTTGGAACCATATTGTGATGATGGCTTGAAATTGCATTGACTCTTAGGCTGTGGGAATAATATAATGCATAATGACTAACAGGAAGTTTAGATATTGCAAACCGAAACATACACTATTTATTTGAAAGTATTTAAAGGAACATGCATCACTTGACAATGTATTTCTTTTTTTCTTCAAACCAGCAAGCAAACACTTTTACACAAATATAATAAGACAAAAATAAAGCAAGAAACATTTGCAAAATATGTAATAAACATTTATAAACTTTATCAGCTGCCAGTTTGCTATTTCTAGCACAACTCTAAGCTAGGCGAGTTTTTTCAGCCCTCTTACCCTCTCATTTCCCCACCTATTTCTCATCCTACCCCCTTTCTTATGAATGCTCTAGTTCTAATTCACGTGCATTATTTTTGAAAACTGATCAGCAAAGATGCTTAGAGTCATGGAGACATAAGTGACAAACTGATTCTCTGCGTCTGTGAATACTGAAAAGAAAAGAAAAAAAGAGCACATGTAACAACTGATCATATGTGTGTTTATATAATATAAATGATGTATGTGTATATCTGTGTGTGTATTTATGGATATTTGGTCAATTCACTGATAATATAAAAACCTATTATTTTCTAATCATGTAGCAGCAGTACAGGAGGTATTGTCAAACTAAAGCTGCATGAGTAGCCTCTAAATATAATAGGTTAATTAGGCAATCCCCTCCCCTTCACACTTTAAATAGTAGCTCCGAAAAGGGCCCCCAAGTTTTTACTTGTCCCACTCAGTAGACTCTTTGTTGGTGGCTGTTTCCTGTCTTTATGGTAAAGTAGGCACATGCTGCTATACTATTTACCCAGTAGTTCCTCAGGCCGTGAACTTAGTGGCTTCCAGCTCAGACCCAATACAAGTTATGGAGCATATGTGGGCATTCAGTTCTATAGTATGTGCATGGAGGACTTTGGGGTTTGTTGCACCAAAATTCTTCAGGCCTGGAGATTGCGCACAATAGTGGAATGTGCTTAATGGTGGAATGTTGCATTACACTACTGTTCCTTTACTTTACTATGCATGTGCAACAGGAATGCTGATTTTGGTACAAATTTGAATGTCTGTCTGACAGCAAGAATGCTTGTCAGTATCAGAATACATTGTCACCAGTCCCCCGACATGGTTCAGAGGTCTAGAGGTGGGGAGTGTTTTTTTTTTCTTTGACCTTAAAGGCTTCTGTTTGTTGCTTTTTTACTGCTCCAGAAATGTTTCATTGTATTACAGAAGAAACAACCTTCTGCTCCAAAACTGAAGGCAACTTGTAATGCTAGCCTGTAACAATTGTGCCACTTTTCTGCCTGATGATTGTAAAAAGAAAATATGTAATTGCAAAAGCTTTAAAAAAGGCAAAGCAGAAGAAGATGCATCCTTTACTGAATTGGTTTTAGGAGAATATATCCCAAATTGTTAAAAGTTTTAAACAAACAGCAGTTAATTCCAATGAGTCTACATCTGTCCTAAACAGACATATCAAGAGCTTTAGAGCTTTTATCAGTTGAATGTTCCCACTCTTCAGTCAAGAGTCTTTTTCAGATTCTGGTTTTCCAGTGGAGGAATTGAATCAATTCATTAAAGGGACACTATAATCACCAGAACAACAGCTTACTGTATTTGTTCTGGTGAGTATAATCATTCCCTTCAGGCATTTTCATGCAAACGCTGTATTTTCAGAGAAAAGGCAGTGTTTACATTGCTCACTAGGGATACCTTCAGTGGATACTCCTTAAAGGACCACTATAGGCACAGAGAGCACTTCAGCTCAAGGAAGTAGTCTGGGTGCCATTTCCATTTAGTGTTAACTCTGCAGCTGAAAACATATGTTTACACTAGGGTTAATCCAGCCTCTAGTGGCTGTCTCACTGACAGCCGCTAGAAGCGCATCTGCGCTACTTACTGTAAAAATCACAGTGGAAAGACGTTGGACGTCCATAGAAAAGCATTGAAAAATGGTTTCCTATGGACTGTTTGAATGCGCGCGCGGCTCATGTGCATTCGGATCGGACGTCGGCAGGGGGAGGAGAGTTCCCCAGGGCCGATGGAGCCCAGCGCTGGAGAAAGGTAAGTGTTTAACCCCTTCAGCTCAGTGGGAGTGGGACCCTGATGGGGGGGACCTAAAGACCTTATAGTGCCAGGAAAACAAGCTTGTTTTCCTGACACTATAGTGGTCCTTTAAATGGCCAGTGTAGATGCTTCCTGGGGCAGTGCTGCACAGCGGATCGGGGGTGGGACCAGCGCCGGCAGTCCTGCGCGGCCATGGAAATTAGGTACATTTTAATCTCTTCTAAGGGGGCTAAATGAGGGGAAGCCATCTAAATGGTGGTTTTAACACTATAAGGTCAGGAATACATGTTTGTGGTCCTGACCATATTGTGTTCCTTTATATAAGTTATTGCAGTAATCCTCTCAACATCCTATGTTCCTGTGCGTCCAGCTTGTCTTGTTGCAAATTCTTTGCTGTTAGTCAACCTATTGTGCAGAGCTGCGGAATTTGTTGGCGCTTTATAAGTAATAATAATAATAATAATAATAATAATAATCGAAGATGGGGAAATGCAGAAGAAAAAGGGAAAAGGCTTTCCTGTGCACCCAAGATTCTTAAATCGTGAATGGAAGAACCCAGGGGGAACTTTATTTCAAAGCATTTTGAACAAATTTTCAAACTACAGCATTCTAAGAATTGCAAAGAGTTGCTGAAAGTGGATGTGCAAATCGCTCAATTATCGAAGAAAACTACCATTCCCATTGGGGAAATAGCTGTCCCATTTACAAACTAGTAGAAACTTCATGGAGAAGAAAATTACAAGCTTCAGTTCTTTAGAGTAAAGACATTATTTCAGGAGAATCTGGCAAGAGCTCGGAGTGTCAGGTTACAGTCTTTGAAAGATTGTATTATAGGAAGTTCAGACAAAGAATTTGATCATCTGCTGAAGAACATCAGAATGGCCAGTGACTTTGTGTGTGACATGACGTAGGACGTTTAGACGCTGTAGACCAGAAATATGGGTTTGTACTCCATGGGAAGAACTAATAAACCGATGTTAGAAGCTTAAAAAAAAAAAAGCTCTCCATCAAGAAAGGAGTTGATGGAATAGAAAGTCTTTCACACGCAATCAGAGATCATTTCCAGTGCAATATAAGAAACAGATACAAGATGAGGTACCTTGAAAAGCCTGGTTCTCAATTACTTCTACATATGCCTCACAGGTAAATTCAGATTTCTACTGCTTCAAGAATTTTCACAAAGATTTATCCTTTGGCCGCCTCTTTTTGAGAGAATGGCATTGCTGTTGTCTCTTATCTAGGTGATTGGTTTCTGAAAGTGGATTTGAGTATTCACCTTACACTCCAGATGTTGCAGGAACTGGTTGTTAAACTGGGAAAAGTCGTATATTTCCTTCCACGAGAATTCTGTTTCTAGATCTAGAAGTGGACTCCATTTCTCTCTTGCTTCATCTTCATCTCCTCCTTCAAAAGATCAAGGATCAGGAAAGATATTGCCTCAATATGTGCAAACTCAGAATCCTGCAACAGAAAGTCAAAGCGCACTCTAGGCATACTTTCTTCACCCTTTCCAATTGTGAAAAAATCACTCCGACAACCCCAAAATAGTTGCCTACTTGAACAAGCAAGGAGGTACAAAAGTCAAAACTCTATCACTCCTTTTGTGCACAGATCATGACTTTTTTTTTTGTCTCCCAGGTATCTCTCATGGCAGCAAACCAAAACCGGACATGTGCCAATGTTACCCAACCTATTCAGGAAGGATCATCTGTAATTTATTTATTTTAATTTTTTTATGGCCTGGTGATGTCCTGGGAATTCAAGCTGAGCTCATATTTTTCCTCCAATTGCACTATTGGCTCAAATTTTACAAAATATTAGACCAGACAAGGTGATGACCATCATTCCATATTGGCCATATCGAAGTTGGTTCTTGGAGTTCAAACAGATGGCTTTAGCAAATTGTGAGCTTTCTGTCTCAGGACTGAAACTCTGCGGATGCTGACTGCCTGGAAGCTGCAAGCTTAATTTTTAGAAAACAAGGTAAGGAGTAACGTATTATGGATCTTCTTTTAAAGGGACACTGTAGGCACCCAGACCACTTCTGCCCATTGGAGTGGTCTGGGTGCCAACTCCCACTACCCTTAACCCTGCAAGTATAATTATAGCGGGTTTTTTTTGTTTGTTTTTTTTTTTTTTTTTATAAACAACCACTAGAGGGCACTTCCTGCTCCATAGCACACTAGAGCGTCGCTGGACGTCCTCACGCTGTGTGAGGACCTCCAGCGTTGCTCAATTCCCCATAGGAAAGCATTTTCAATGCTTTCCTATGGAGAGCTCTAATGCGCGTGTGCGGCATTGCCGCACATGCGCATTAGATCTCCTCAGCCGGCGGGCGGGATCAGTCTCTCCCATCCACTGACGTAAGGAAGAGGAGGAGCGGCGGCGAGCAGAAACCATCGCCGAGGGACATCAGTGGTCTCAGGTAAGTGACTGAAGGGGTTTTCACCCCTTCAGCAACCGGGGATGGGGGGTGGGAGGGAGAGGGGACCTGCAGTGCCAGGAAAATGGATTGTAGTGTCCCTTTAAGTTCTACCAGAAAAACCTACTACTAAAATCTATTTGAGGATCTGGAACAAATTCCTTGTGTGGCGCAGAGACCGTGACTGCTTCAGTTTATCACCTCCTATTCAAGTTATACTTAAAGACTTTTTAAATTTTATTTTTTCTGCAGGCCTCAGTGAGGCTACCCTGAAAGTTCAAGTCTGAGTTTTTAGTCATTTCCTCGTTTTTGATTTGGCCTCCAACATTTTTGTTCAGGCTCTTTGATTTCAATGTCCACATCAGAAATCCTTATTTCCGGCATGTTATTTGTCTCTGGTTCTTAATGCTCTCTGTGACTTTCTCTTTGGAACCCTTGGACAAAGTCTCTATGAAGATGTTGTTGTCTTTGAAGACCAATTTTCTCATGGCAATTACATCTACTAAATGAGTTGGTGAACTCAAGAACTTTCCTCCTCTTTGGATTTCACTATTGTTCATCAGGATAAAGTAGTACTTTACCCTAAACCTGTTTTTTGTTGGGGTGTTTTTGTCAAAAGTCAACACACTTCAATCTCCTCATTTTTTGATATTTTCTGTCTTCTCCTAAGGTTTCACTTGTTAGATGTAAAGAGAGCTCTGAAGATTTATCTCAAACAATCAGCAGCATTCATGTCTTCTGATCATCTCTTTGTCAATTGTTAGGTAGCATATAAGCGCAAAGAGGCTTCCAAAGCTACAATTGCAAGATGGGTAACCAAGGCCATTAAGATGGCTTATGAAGTCACAGATCAACCATCTTTCAAGGCACATGACACTAGAGCATGGATAGGCAACCTTCAGCACTCCAGACGTTGTGGACTACATCTTCCATAACAAAGCATCATGGGAGGTGTAGTCCAAAACATCTGGAGTGCCAAAGGTTGCCTATGCCTGCACTAGGGCAATGGCGACCACTTGGACAGAAAAAGCATTGGCCTCTCCTCTCCTTCAATACCTTCATACTTCACTACAGGCTAGACATATTTTGTTCCTCAGAGGTTTCTTTCAGGCATAAGGTGATCCAAACTGATGTTATCTGACTGACCCACGCATGTTTTGCAATTTTGCTACATCCCTCCTTTACTGCTGCTATATGACAGGGAAAACAGAAATTTTTACTTACCGTAAATTCTTTTTTCCTTAGTATACTGGCAGTTCAGATTTCCCTCCCTTTTGTAATGAAGTATTTTTGTATTATTTGGTCTCTTTATTCTTGCTATTTTGCTGGGAACTTCTCAGAGATCTTAAAATTGCAAATACGCTATTCCAGAATTCATAGGGATCAGACACTCATTATATCAGTGTCCACCCTCTGGAGTGGGCATGGAAAGTGCAAGGAAGAAGAAGCAGGTAAATATGAAAAAAATCATTTAACCTGCTTTTTTAGCCTGCAGAGTTAGACAATTGCCTCATAAAAAGGTAAATATTTTGAATGAGACTGTTGTCTCAAAGTGATGCATGTACCTTTAAAACATGAATCCGTAAATAATAACACTCATGGTTTCGGGTACCATGATGTTGTTTTTTTTTTTGTTTTTTTTTTATTACCTTTTTTCCTGATTACATAGCTTTCCTTTACAATTTACCAACTGATTCATATGCATACTAATTCCAAAGGTTTAGAGTATTAAGAAGATGTTCGAAATAAGCAGGAATTCTAAAGTTTAAGTCTTTTAAAATTCTACAAGGATGAGTAGTGTAAGATACACTGAGAAACAGATAAATATAATAAATTATATCCAGGCTAATGAAATGTGTTTACAACATAAATGAAGAAAGCTGAGGGATGGTGCTTGCAGCCTAATGGCACCATAACCACTTAATTGACATCTAGTGTTTCTAGTGCCTAGACTGCTATTTTCCTCTTCTGTAAAATAATTTATTTTTATAAACCAATCTTACCCCATGTTTTAATAAAATATGATTGCATTCTATTCAAACAGACTATCTATTCACTTAGGTCTCAATTTAATATTTTTGGGTAAGCTATTCAAGTTATTTAACATTTTTTTGGATACACCTTTAAAATGATTAAATATTACTAAAAGTATTTTAATGTTTTCAAGATAAAATATTGATACATTTTTTATTTGATGTATTATTTTACATTTTAATATTTATATATTTTTTTAAATCCAAAATATTACATCCTTTGAAAGCTTATGCAAAAATATAAAATCAAGTCCATTATATTTTTAAATGTAATCTATCTTCAAATTATATGGGTAAAGTGTTTATACATTCGGTTTCCAAACATGAATGCAACTGTTATGTTTTGTTTGTTTCCTTCTTATGATTTTTTTTCTTTTATTCCATATTCTTTTAATTAATTTCCATAGTTATTCTTTGGCAAATACAATAAAACTCAGAATGAATGTTTGTATTTTTCCCATTCCTGTTTTTAATTTTATAAATACAGTAGTAGTAGCAGTTGAGTATTGGTCTGTGTATGTGTAGGCTGATACAAATGTAATGTTACACCAATGGAATGCTTTACTTACTATTTTACATATTGTTTATCAAAACATTATAGGGATTTTGATATGTCATAATAAACTGCAAATTATGGTCTAAAGTCTAAAAATGTTCTTTATTAATATAGGGGGGTCTCCCAGATGATGGGCAAAAAGCTACGTTGGTCAGTTGGGAAAGGTAAGCATTTTTTTCTTTTTATACTTTTATTATATAGTCCCTGCTAGTGCTGTTTGTGCATTTTAACACTTTTATATTTAAAGGGACACTATAGGCACCCAGACCACTTCAGCTAATTGAAGTTGTCTGGGTGCTGTGTCCCTATTGCACTTAGTACTGCAATGTAAAACCCCTTCAACAGGGTTGTTTTTCTGACACTATATGAATCCTTTAAGGTAAGATTTTTATACTATTAAAAAGACTTTATCTTACTGGGTGTAGCCATTATAATTAAACATAGCGATTATTTATGGATATCTAGTGGTTAAAATATTAGTCCCTTGGGTGATTCTAACTTGGCGTTGAGAACATTTACCCATTCATATGTATTGGTGTAATGGTTTCAATTTACAAGGTCTGGGAATTGTACCTGATGAAAAATAGAAGGATGTTTACCAATAAGAAGCAAAGAATGACCTGTTAATAAAACCGTTCTGTAAAGCTTGTCCATGCTCAAATAAACATATCAAGAAAAATATATGAATTTTGCAGCAATTCCAGAAAAAGGTGCTTTCAGCACCAGGGTTGAATTGTATGCTTTGAGCTGGAAAAAACCCAAAAACAAAACCTGACTCCTATCTTTATCTGGCGCCTAGATTTAAAGCAGATTTGTCAAGCCCTGTGTTAGAGGACCTAGTAAATCTAAAACTTTATCCTTACAATTTCAATGCAAATTTTAAGCCTTTCTTGATATTCTAGACAGGTTAAAAACAGAAACTGTATGTTTTCTGGATCTACTACAGTGTTGCACACACTTTTTAGGAATTAATAACCTTGGGCATTTGCCCAAAGTTTGTTTATATTTAACTTATCTTACTCTTCTTAACTTATTTAGGGACATGACCCAGCTGAGACTTTTCTACCAACCGTGGATGCTGCAGGGGTTTTTCACCTTTACCGGTCATTTCTGTAGACTTGTAAAAATAGCCCATCTTATTGGGCTGAACATGTTTTCTGTGATAGGATAATGCCTATTTTATTTAAACCAAGGAGATGGTCTCCCTTGTAATCCTAAGATCTGTGGCCTCTGTCTCTGTCTTATTAGTAGGTATTATTTACAATGGCATCCTTGGTATTCAATTCAGAATAATCAGAATTATGATAAATTCAACAAATAGGGAGTGCAATTTATACTACCCCAAAAAAATAAGATATATTTATTTTAGCTTTCCCTCATATAATAAAGTAGATCTTGGGACACAACAAAAGGTATAAAGACATAGCGTAACAATGTTTAAATATTTGGTAAAGATTGGAGGGAATAATTACATAGAATGTGACGGCAGATAAGTAAAGTAAACTTTATTAGCATGGTCCCCACACCTCAAAGAAAAGAAACATTAGAAAAACTTGCCTGCAATTCCACACCAAAGCCAAGTTCTCCCTGCAGTCCTACTCTCCTCCAGTGATGTCATTCCCCATCATTGCAGGTGTAGGGATATCTTGGAGGACTTACTGAAAAGAAGACTTGAGCGGCATGGAGTGAGGGAGCTTTGCAACCATTAGTCGTCTGACTGGCTTAGAGTATGAATGTTCACACACAGCGACTAATTAGAAAAGAGTGCCCACAGACAACCTCTTGATAAAACAAACAAAAAAAAAGCTAAATATTCAGGTACACAGACAGAAATGTGTGTGGATATTCCCAACCCCTCCCCCTGTTATTTCTGGAATAATACTGCCATTTATATCCATCACGCATATTTAATAATTTCAGTGAGTGACCAGTTATTGTCTTATTTCAGTGAAGGTCAATCTCAAACACAAGCAACAATGCAAGAAGAAATAATCACAGACGATGACCTACGTCTGATAGAAGAACGTGAATCCGCTATACATCAACTTGAGGTCTGTATTCTTTATATTCCACTAAAATAACTTATAAAAAACACCTCAAAACTGCGACCCAAAATTCTGTTCCTGTTTTCAGTTTCATCAGAATTCAGCCATTGCTCTTCGAGCCATGCTAAAACTAGCCTCTCATTATGTACAAGGATAATAAATTGTGAAGTTGTTTAAAGGTTTGCTTTTTACCTGGCACCTTATCCACTATGCCATGCTGTAGTGGTTATTGTGCTTAGAGTGCATCTTTAAATATTTCAGTTTAGATTATTTAAAGGAACACACCAAGGAACACTCCAATACAGTTTGACACTTACCTGGATCTTTCCAGGCGCTTGCACCACATCCAGTCTTCTCAAAGCAGGAGATGCTGGATGCCAATCTAGAGCTGGAGAACTTTTCCAAACCGGCTATTTTTACCCTTGTTTTTCCATTCAGATTTAATTTGTGGAAACTCAGAGTTTCACGTATAAGCCTGCAGGCATCGAATCTTGGTTCTCATCAGCTGTCAAGTTCCACATCAAAGAAAGACAATTATTCTTATAATGCTACTGGGATGCATAACTCATGCTTTACCTACATTGAGTTATTACCTTTAAACATTTTTTGGGGGAAAGCTACATGTAGCCATATGTATAGGAAACAGTTTTTATTTATGCAAAAACCTTCAATGCTGCAGGTATGCTGTAATTATAAACTGGTAAATTTCTATTTTTGGAAAGGAAGTATAAGTATTCTTACCACATCACTCAGAGACACATAGCAGCAACACAAAAGGTAATCAAAATGTATATTCAGTATCCTTTGCATTATTGCTCCTTTGATTTTGTTAGGATCTGTAGCGCCTAATAAAGTTGTGGGAATAAAAGGATACGAAACCGCTGCAGAAGCATCCTGTTAGGTAAAAAAAAAAACAGAAAAACAACCTCACATCTTTAGAAACATAGAATGTGACAGCAGATAAGAACCATTCGGCACATCTAGTCTGCCCAATTTTCTAAATACCTTATCTTAAAGTTAGGATAGCTTTATGCCTATCCTACACATGCTTAAACTCCTTTCCTGTAAAGAAGAAATGCTAAGGACAATTCCCATACCGGGAACCCGGGCCGCCTGGGTGAAAACCAGGAATCCTAACCGCTAGACCATATGGGAAGATCTATCTATACAGTAATAAGGGTGTTTGCGTTAAAAATTATATATATATATATATATATATTTTTTTTTATTTTTTTTATTTTTTTAATACAATGTTAAACAAAAATCTGCACTCCATTCAAGCCATAAGACTTGCTTTTCCCACAGAAATCACAAATTTGCAGTGATGTTACTACTGCAAAGGATTTTGGGTGGACATATGCAAATTAGTTCAAGAAAGAATCAAATTTTTGCCTCATTCCATTATAAACATGGATTCTTTTGAGTCTGTTTGCTGTATACAACAGCTTTGAAACAAAACTTAGGAAAAAATGCAAAGCCAGTGAACCACTCATGGACAGCTGTACCGCCATGCCTCAAAGCTAGCCAGTAACCAACCTCAAGCTGATGATTTACATTAGCAATGAAACCGCTGTACACGAGTGGTTCACTGGCTTTGCATCTTTTCCAAAGTTGTGTTTCAAAGCATATTTATGATTTCATAAGCTGATCTTTTAGCTTTCTTAATCAAAATATACAATTCACTCTATTTGCAAAATAGAAATCCATTTTGGTGAATTTAATGCAGTTCCTTGTGTTTACCACTAGATGGTGGCAAAGCATAAGAGGATTGGTGCTCTCCCATGATGGTTGCCAAACATATATCATTATTTAGAAGTTAAGTGTGAAAAATTTTTTAGTATCAGAAAATCCTTTTTAATATGTATCTTACCACCACTTCTGTCTCCAGCATCCCAGTGCTTAAAAACCGCAATGTACAAAGGCACAGTGTGCCCAAACTGCATGTAGAGATGTGACTGTTATCAAAAATATTGTGATTATTCATAAACAAAATCTCCTACATTGTGCACAGTGTCAGATTTCTCATAGAATCCGCTAGGGACCATAAGTCTTTGCTGAGCCTGCTTTCCAACTCCTCTTTTGTCCATGTAGAAATCCTTCTCAGGCACTTGGTATAACTTGTAAATGTTAGCAGGGTCTTGTATATCCAAATATGTTGCACTGAAATTAGATTTTTTTTTAATGGTTGTGACCTATACAAGGGGTACCCAAGATAAGTTGACTACGTACACTGAAAGGACATCAGGACACTTATTTTAATGAAGCAATTCAGTGTATACAAGATTAGATAACTAAACAACTAGTACTTTATTTTCTTCACGACAGTAGACGTGCTATATATCTTATATATCATATATAGCACGTCTACTGTCGTGAAGAAAATAAAGTACTAGTTGTTTATACTGGATTTGCGTAATCCCTTGTCTTAAAGTGCATAATGATAAAACTGAATTTACTCACATTACATCAACACATAGAATTTGTTTGATATGAGTTATAGTTTCTGGCACATGGTTTTATATATTTTCTATTATTTTACAGGAGGATATAAGAGGCATAAATGACATATTTAAAGACTTGGGCATGATGGTTCATGAACAAGGAGATATGATAGGTAAGTTTTGTCAACCATATGACTGTAAAATATGGATGTGTGAAGGAACATAGTATAGAAAAATTGGTTTTGGTCCTGCAGATTCTAAAGCAATCTATTGACTCCCAGGCAATTGTAAAAATATCTGCAAATGATATTTGGGGTATTCTTTGTCACACACATTGTTTAATACGTTTTTAATGTAAATCTCTCAATTATTAAGAATAAGATCATAATTTTTTATGAGAACACTGCTTTTTAGCTAGCCACCTTTCTTTTAGGTACTTTTATTTCAAGTAGTAAAAAGATTGTATAAACAAGGATTTAAGTGCATCATTTCTGAATTTTGTATCCTTTCCTACATTGTCTACCTAACATCTATATTCAACAATAGACAGCCAGAGCATATATCCCTGTGTTTGTTATATGCAAACTATAGACATAACTGATATGTATGAGTTAGTTGTCATTATATTTACTTTATTGACGAGCAGTTGAAATTATGTTTTAATGTATGTTTCTTCTAATTGAAATAGTGCAGTGAATGTAAGACACTTTGTATTTTAAATAAATTAAACATTTTATCATTTAGATAGTATAGAGGCCAACGTTGAGTCTGCTGATGTCCATGTTCAGCAAGCTAACCAACAACTTGCAAGAGCAGCAGAGTACCAGGTAAGAGCACTGGAAATATACTTTTCCCAGTTACCTTCTTTACGTGGAAATTACAAGCTGGGTATGATCCTTGTTTGCAAATTACTATATACTTAATGCATGGGAAATTGTAAACTGTATAAAATTAAAGCAACTTCCAGATGAACGTGCCTTGGTAGGTTGTGGGAGAGTGTATGGCATTCCTAAAACTTGAGTTGAGAGGAAGCAAGAGCAGGCATTAAGCAGGGAGAGGAGTCAGGCTTCTAGCTGTGATAGTTCCTGGTGCACTGTCCATTTAATATTGATATTCTTGTCGTGCAGCACGTGCTAATAGAGTCTGATTATTAAACTGCTCAAGATTTCAAGTAATCCGTTTGTCTCTTTTATTGTACTTTTTGGTTGTTTGTGAATTCATTAAACTTCTGAGAATTGTTAACAACAAAATGCAGGAGAATAGAGCCAAATGAAAAGCACGTTAATTTAGATAAGTAAAACTCCTTCTCTTTCGAAGCACTTTCCGACCCTGCTGTGCCAGGATTGAACTGGATTGTGATGTCAATTGCTAAATATTTAATACATTCATTGAAAAGGAAACCGAATATCACCAAAAAATGTAATGGCTTAAGAGGCACTGTAACTGCTTAAACCATTCTATGTTCCGTGTTAAACCGTTTTTAATGTGTTACTGCTACACAAGGCTCCCAGTAGCTCCTTTGTGCTGCTTTGGCTAATTAAGTAAGCATTAGCCGGAGCAACAGTGGGCAGTGGTGGTTGGCTGTGAGTGTAAGTTGACCACTTTCAGCCTATCATAGCAGTCATTGCTGGTATGAATTAGTATGGCTACTGGAGAATGTACTCTCTCAACTTCCAGTTGATGCTGGGCTGTGGCTGGCCTGAGACCCTCATTCAGTGTTAAGCTGCTGCAAAATGGTTTAATACGTAGTGGTGGGACAGCGCCAGGGGACGTCAAGCATTAAAACAAATTTATTAAGATGAAATTGTTAAATTACCCTTGTGTCCCTTTAACACAACTGTTATTGTTTTATTCAATCGTGTAATTTCAAGAGAAATTATAGTTCCCCTTTAAACTCCTTTTTTGGGGGTGTTCTTTTCATCCAAGAGAGCGAGCAGTACAGCATACATTTATATGAAATGTACAAAGTGTATGCTGTGGAAATAAGATCGCTCATAGCTCCAATTCTTTAGAAACAATAAAAACTGCTGCATTTCCATGTAATGTATTGCATAATAAATGGAAAACACATTAGAATAGTATATATATTTCATGTTAGTTTCCCTTTAAATAATTAAAATCTTTGATAATAGAAACAAAGCAGGTGTTTTGACAGTCACTATGTTCTCCGTGCTAAAACTAATCTATGGTAGATGTCAATAAATGTATATTCTTTTTCACTGAATTTTTCTTTTAAAAAGTTGCCATGGATCAGGTGTTTAACTTAATTTTTTTTCCCCTTATGTTCTAGCGCAAATCAAGGAGGAAGATATGCATCATCATTGTTGTACTCGCTATTCTTGCAACTGTAATTGGACTGATTATCTGGGGATCCCTTAGAAACTAAGCATCAAACATATATTCTCCTTGAAACCTATACATCAGTGCTTTCTTACTATATGAAATAAGAAAGTTCAAATATATTGAAGAAAGAGAAGATGAAAAAAAACAATTAATGCCATGTGTACATATTTGTTGTTCTTAAACGGACACTAAGCATCATAACAATGAGAACTCACTTTAGTGGTTATAGTGCCAAGAGTTCCCTAGTGCTGTCTTACAGTAAACCGATTCAGAAAAGTTTGACACTTAATGGTCTCTGTTCAGCACCTGCATTGCTTGTGGTCTGAACTGGTATGGTAAAGAAGAAGTAATCACTTCTGTATTATCATACTAGCTCATACCAAGTATGTTTATGTTCATTTGCGGAGTGTGTCAGCTGAAACTTAGTAAGAGTTGATCTGAAATTACATGAAAAATAGTATGAACATCCACTTTAACAAACCATACTGGAAGCAGTGCAGGCTCTGAACAGAGAACTGTATGTGTCAGACTGTTCTTAAATGCTTTGACAGTTTACTGTTGGGCAGCGCCAGGGACCTCCTGGCACCATAACCACTATAGCAAACTGTAGTGGTTATAATGCTTGGAATATCCTTTTAAATAGCAGTGCATGTTTGTGGACATGGGATTTGTTAACAAAGCACTGGATTGTGAATTTATAAATGCAACATTCATGCCAAGAGAACTAAGTTGTAAAGTTTTTTCAACCAGCTAGTTGTGCCTAAATTTAATATTCAGCTGTCCATATGCTTCGGTTCACATTTATACATTTTTCTTTTATAATTTCTTTTTTACAGTTGTTTTGCACTAACATATGTAAGCTTCAGAAATCCAGAATTTGCTTTTAAACAAAGTTACTAGTTTTCTAAGGGGTCAGAAATCTGTATATCAGTTGTCTTAAAGCGACACTGTCACAGTCTGGAACTTTGCAGAATGGGGGCTGGGGTAAAGGTGAGTTCAACTTACATAAACCTGTCCCTCTCAGGTGTTGCCATCTTCCTCCGGCGAGTGCGCAGGATCATCCATAGACTGGGGAAATTTACATCCCCGCCCAGTGTCTAGAAGTGTCAGGCATAGGAAATATACAGAGATAAAGTAGTCCTTACTTTGTCTCTGTATATCTCTTGATTTTCAGTGAAATTCCAACAGCGTCAATGTAAAACAGCACAAAAGATACACAAGAATATTTTGAATTGAATAACTGCTTTTGATTTGGCTTTGCACATTAGAAAATAAAAAAACACACAAAAACTAAATTCTTTTTATATCCCAAACATATTCTACCATCTTTGTGAATTTATCTGTAACATAAAAATTTACTGTGCCTTTTTTTATTATTTTCATGTATAAATCACATGGCAACCTCAATATGAATCTTCTAATGTGCATGCGCACCAGTTACACAAAAGGGCTTATAATTCACTACTAGAACTACTTAGGTTCACTGATGTGTATTTATCTAGTAATTTTAGTTTAGTTTTTTTTCAATATTACCCAAAGTGACACATTTTGGAGCTGCCTGGAAGAAATCTGTCTTCAGTATTACAAGTTGGCTGTGATTCAAAATAGTGACAGTCCAATTAATGGGCAAACACATATCCAGCCTTTCTCAATCACACATTCCCAATAACATGCATGGCTTCTTTAATTGTTTTTAATGATAAAAGATTTATGTTTAGTATCATACTCTAAAATATTGTTTGAGCTTGATATAGTGAAAGATGCCCCAAAGCCATGAACTATTTTGTGTCATCCTCAGGTAGAAAAAGGTATGATCATTTCTTGTGACAACTGTCTGTAAATTGTTTGATTTACATTGTTTTACACTCCTTGAACTCTTTTTGCACAATGGTTTAAAATAGTCTTCCTCATACACCTATAGGTGTTGTCATATGGGGAAAAGAAGATTAGGTAATTATGAATCCATATTGCTCAACAATGCCCCATTAGGGTCCAAGTGATATTTGCAAACCTTTGGTAATCACTAATGTCCATTCTGCTGCAAATACTTCCCCCCTCTCTTATACTGGACCCATAGTATCTACTGTACATTAAAGCCTCCAGTATATACAAACGGCCCAGTTTGTTTAGTGTAGTGTGTGATGTTTATTTCAGTGACACCCCTATCATTCCCATAAAACTGGTCACTAAATTTATTTTTAGTATAGATACTGTATATGTGACATTTGAATATTTAAGAAAAGAGATCTGAACCTGCCTTTGGCTTAGTAAACCGTTATGCAAAGGGAACAAGTCCTCTATCGTTACAATATATATTTGATTTATGCCCAGTGACTGTTTTCATGTATAGGAAGACCCATACTTGCCTCCAAAGCAGGATTAACTATAATGAAGCCGCCTAGGGCCCTGGGGTTAGACTGCGGCCCCTGGAACCCTGACTTTGTTGGCCCAAAAACCCTATTCCTATGTGAAGAATGGAGGCGGTGGGACAAACTGTTAATCTACCTTGGGCCCTGTGAGATATTATTCCTTCTCTGCCTGCCTCTTAAAATGTTGATTTTTCCAGTTAGATAAAGGGCCTCTTTTAAAAGTGGCTGGATTTGATTGGCCTTCAGTATCTCTCATAGTGTTGATATATCCTATTGAAATTTGGGAGCCTTAGGTTAGTGGAATATCAATGCAGAAGAAAGAGTCCCTTTAACCAAACCTGTTTTTACAATCCGAACATACAGCCCATTATATCTAAATAATAAATCTATATTGTTCTAACAGACTTATAAGTCAGAGCATCATTCAAGTTTTATAAAAAGGGTATTTAATGTCATAGTTCTGTTCAAATTTGTAATGATGATTATCTGAAAGAGATTTTTAAACATCTCTGTATTTGTACTTTCGGTGGAAATTCAGTGTATACAGTTTGTTCTCCATATCTGCACTGTAACCATAGTTTAGGTAAATGCCAAAAATACTATTTTAGGTTTTAGTAAGATTTGACAAGCATGCCTCATAGTGGGGTTACCTGCCATTTACTCATCACAGTATGTTTATATATTGCTGGCAGTAATACTTTTCATTGTGCAAGTTCTTTGTGTATGATTTACTGCACGTCTCTTTTATGGCCTGTGGATTGAAGTTAGTTTTTGGATTTCTTAACATATTACATTAAAATATATATATATATATATAATTTATAATTATGAAATATTAGTCAAATCAAAAAATAGGAATGACTTCATGTAGCCAGGGGAATCCTAAAGAGATGATGTTGGAATGAAATATCAGCCTTTGGATGCCAAGGCATCTTTAAAGTGGTAGCTCTACAACATCTGGGAATCTACTTTTTGAGCTCCCCTGATGTAGACCAACCATCCTATGGGAACACATTTTGTAAGAACATTTGTAAACCTGTAAAACTGTTAATAGAACACATCCATGTAACCACGAAAAATAAAAACCCATTGCTTTGACTGCTGGCAGCTGCCCTAAAGCTATTTTACAGTAATGTATGTATAGAGATTGCTCTCTCCCTTGTGTTGCTCATTTTATACATGTATAATAGATTATAGCTGCTCTAATTAGAAAGACTGTTAGCATTACATATTATGGTTGTTCTGCCTAATCTATAATTTCCCTTTATTATCTCTTTACAATTTTTTTTCCCCTCTACATTGCTTTGCAAAACAGTTAAGTATAATCTAAACGTATTCCTTATTCCATTTAGGAATTGTATGGATTTATGATTCACAAGCCAATCACATGTTGTGAATGAAATTACATACAGAAGACCTGTCAGCAAGATTTTAGCATTTAGCACTCTATTGTCTTTTTTTTTTTTTTTGTGTGTATGTGCGTGTATTAAAAGCTGGAAAAATATATATATGTGTGTGTGTGTATATATATATATATATATATATATATATATATATATATATATATATATATATATATATATATATATATATATATATATATATATGAAACATTTCTTATGCAACAGAACATTTGTTTAATTTTTGGCGTAAATCCGTATTTAAAAAAAAAAAAAAAATTAATTGAAAGACAGACGAGTGAAAACAAGACTGTGTGTGTGTAGGTGAATTCCATATATATAAAGCAAAGAGCAAGATGAGCTGTTGAGTCTCCTATCCTAAGGTAATACTAGTTTGCCAGGAGTATAGGAGGTTTTCAGGTATTCTCACATTGTTGGAGTGATTGCTATAAAGAGTATGATGACTATACCAATGTGTAAGAAGATATTTGTAGTTATGTTGGGCTATCATAAGGAGACATATTTCCTGATCATTTTTGTACACTGTAAAGGCAGTAGCTTGCAGGCAACCACATTTTAAATAGATCAACTTGTGAGAGGAATGGTTTTACCCCCTAAAGTACAACATATCTTACTGGTCAATTATGCTGTAAAGCCTTTCTTGTCAAGTTTTGATATATTTATTATTCAGGATATAGCAATACACAAGAAGTGTAGCAAAGGAGTTTATAGCGACTTGATCATTTAGCATGGTGAGACATAAAGCACATTTCCCAGCCACAGGTTGTGTTATTTTTTGTAGCAATAACTGTTTGTTTTATTTGAGTGTTAATACTGTAATTCCTTAGATTAAATTGTTTGTTCTATTTTCCCAGTCAACACTCCATCAGTTATGGGGGCAGTGGGTAGTAAAAAGCAGAGCAGTGTTTAACAGAATAATGTGATTTGCCTATCTTTATGATGCTACGGTTAAGTAGTATATTAAGTTTAAAGGAACGCTATAGTAAAAGGAATACAAACATGTATTTCTGTCACTGTAGTGTTAAAAGCGCAGTTTAGGCCCTTGGCCCTCCTAGACACTCTTTAAAAAGTTAAAAAGTTTACCTTTATTCTAACAATGTGCAGGTCCACCTCCTTGGCTGAGATCCATTAGAGTTGACTATTTTAGCCAAGCCAATGCTTTCCCATAGGAAAGCATTGTAAAGCTATTACGCATTTGTGGCAAAATGAAGCACTGCGCCAATCAGCAACTCATAGAGAGTTATTGAATCAATGCATATATGAGGGACAATCAGCACATTCATGCAAAGCGATGAGACACTGAGTGTGCACACCTCTTATATATGTGGTGTAGCATTCACTGTTTTTGATGTGGAAGTTTTGGATTTAGTGCATCTCTATTAGAATAAGCTGATTGGTGGGTCATGGCGCATGCACCCAAGTTCAGCAATGCTTTAAATAGACACCTCAGAGAGTGAACTAGTGGAGTAAGTGTGGAAAGTATCTCAGAGAACTTTGCTCCATTTTGGATTCAAGGTATGTTTTTATCTTATTGTAATTATACATTTATATATAATTTTTTTTACCAAAAAGTGGGGGGGGACAAAGTGCCCAGTAAGACTACTATTAAAGTAAAAAAAGTACACCTTTTAAAATTTGTTTCCTGCTTTGTCTTTCTACTTTTGAAAATCTGGTTATATTTAAGAGGCACACATCCTAAACCTTTTTTCAACAAAAATGTAATTGGGATGGGCGTCTTTTATTGCCATCAGCGAGTGGAATCTTAGCTATAGTGCTTGTGAAGGGAAATAATGACATATTCATATTACTATATGTATCCAACTTGGAATTTTCTTCAATGATCCCCAAGATGATCTATTCACTTATGTGATGATGCCCACTGGGAGAAATACTTTAGATATACTTGCCTGAACACCTCTCTTCTTTGAAATGTTATTTTCATCTTCGACTTGCTTAGTGTTTCAGAAGCGACACCACTGGTGTATTCCCACCTGAGCAACAACACAAAAAGTGGTTGTATGGAAAATCCTGTATTACAGCAAATACTCAATAGATTGTCTTGCTGAGAAGCAAATGGATACCAAAGGGATTTATTGCACATTTAGTCTGACGATGCCTGTTTCCATTTGTTAGCATGTAATCACTGATGGGAAATTTCAAGATATGCAGGTAGAAGTTGACCCAAACTATTTTACCGTTTTACAAATAGTCTTGGCCATAAAAAGGGGCAATATCCATTTTTGTCTTATATCTTCATATACTATATTATGATCAGAAATATAACTGATATACTTACGCTCCTGTTAACAAAACTTTGACTGAAGGTGATGGAAGTTGCTGACAAACAATAATTTGAAGGCCACAACTTGCTCACATTTGTCCTTTATAAGATTTGAAAACTAGAAACTACTGCATTTCAGGATAGGTTCACAGAATTGTGTTATCTAGATAGATTTGGTTTAATTAATGTGCCATATTAACACTTGCAGTACGCCATGGTGTTCTTCCTATTCACCTAATTTAATAATGCAAAAAGCACAGAATGTTTTATGTATATGATTAAAAAAAGAAAACTTTGTTCTATAACATGTATATGATTTTTTTGATTTAAAAAATGTCAATTGTTAACTGTGAATTGTATCATAGATTAAATTTGTTTTAGAAATACTATCTTCGTGTTAATTTAGATTTATTCTGTTTCTATAATTAATTTTGTAATACACAGTACTGATATTTAACGTGACTGATTGTGTACAATAAATACCAGTATTAGAAAAGGGGGTCCAGGTTCTCCAATGTCTTCAGGCACCTTTATTAGAACAAGTGGTACAGGGCAACGTTTCGACTTCGACTTGTCTTTGTCAAGTGTCTGTGTGTGTGCTTGACAAAGACTCCATTGGTAGTTTAAACGTTGCAGTGTTCCACTTGTTCTAATAAAGGTGCCTGAAGACATTGGAGTGCCTGGACCCCTTTTCTAATACTGGTATTTATCTTCTGGGCTTGTGCTGGCCCTTGGTTCAGCTAAGCACCCTGTCTTTAGTGAATTGGCGCTTTGGCTCAAATGACTTTTGTGAAAAAATATTTGGGTAAATATTTGGAAAGCCAAAAAGGCTTTTTTTAGTGTGCTGCAATGCAAAGAGGGCTGTAATATCAGCCATTTTTGCTATGCCAAATCAGATGATATTATATCTTAATTAATAACGATGATTTATTGTTTTTACCTTTTGCAATATTGTAGTAACAAATAAAAGGGAGCAGCTGCAGCAATATTCATTTTTCAGTTGAAAAAAAGATAGTGGATAATTTATGACCCACTCAAACCTTTCACCCTGAGAAGAACAAATAGTTTCTCTTTCTGCATCTTCATAGAGTACTATAGACTGGTAGTGTCTTTGCACGTGTTGGTTTAGACAGGCAATGAGATGTAATTTAATCCAAACCTTTTCCATATCATGACACATTAGCCTCCACCCTTATACTTGTGGCTGATCAGTCTCACACACTATGATCTCTTCATCTACATATTTCATGGACTTTACAGCTTCATCAAAATGTAGGTTTTTGCTTAAATTGGAAAAAATCAAGTCTCCAACCTTCTCAGAACATAGAATTCTTTGGTTTCCTTACTGATTCGATACACCAGACTCTCAGTTTACCATACAGCAAACTGAAATTGATTCGTAAAGAAATCAGAACAGTTCTTTGAAAAAATCTTTTGCCTTTTCGGTTGTTGGCAAGAATAGTCAGACTTCTATCCTCTTTAATTCAAGCTGTATTTCTGGCTCCACTTCATTACCACTCTCTTCAGAGACTGAAGACAAAAAATCTGCATCAGGGTATCTCATATTCCGACAAACTTCCACTGTCCATGGAAGCCAAAGAGGAACTTTTTTGCTGGCTAAAACATATTGGCGCATGGAACGGCAAAGCTATTTTCAATTCAAATCCAGATTTTGTAATAGTGTCAGATGCAAGTCTGGTAGGTTGAGAAGCTCATGCAGATCAAGTCACCACAGGAGGTAAGTGGTCAAAAGAGGATTTCAAGCTCCACATACATTATCTTGATCTTTAGCAGGATTGTTTGCACTGAAAGACAAGTATAATTGTTGAATACTTCTCAGTATGGACAATGTTTTGGTGGTTCAATACATAAATCACATATTTACAAAGCCGAAAGCTAAACTGTTATTTATATGGTTTATTTTTCATATTGGCTGCTCTATGAGTAGTAAAGGATGTTCTAGCATAAGACTTGCCTCCTGTCTTAATATTGTGACTCAACGTCAATAAAGCTAGTAAAATCTGTAAGTAATCCAATTATCTCCAAGGACAGAGGCAAAACTCCATTGAACACATGGCAGCAAAAATACATAAAATTACACAATGTTACAATTACTACATAAAACATATACATGCAACATACCCCCAGATAGCTTAGATCTGAGCACACATTATTACGAAATGGCGCTCAGATCACATACATCGCCATGGAGCCAAAGTCTTTTCCATAGTCTTTTGTTACATGAATAGGCTCCATGGCATAGCTATCTGGGGTAGCACTACTACCATACTGAAAGTCCAGAATGCCCCAGCAGAAATACACAAATAAACCTTTCTGCAGGGGAAAATACAGCTATCAGCACATGGGCCATAGTCGGAAGGCAGGAGGCTAGCCAGTAGTCCCCTCCAGGCACAAGTGGCGAAGGGCACTTCGTCACAAGCATCCATCTCATTTAATTTTGGCCTAATGTTTTATTAAAATCCCCTCCTCGCCAATTCCCTAACACTTTCCAAATACCTAAAAACTGAAGTCCCTTAGGGTTACTGTTGTGGGTTATTTTAAAATGTTGTGATACATTGTGACCTTCATAACCTGTTTTAATATTTCTTATGTGGTTCTCAACCATTGTATGTAAGTTCTGTTTTGTGCGGCCCACATATTTTAATCCGCACAGGCATTCCAATAAGTACACAGCATTAACCGAATGGCATGTAATAAGATTTTTATAGGGAACACTAAAATTTGTAATGTGCCTTTTCTTACTATTTGGGCTTCTACATGCTAAGCACATCCCACACCCTTGACCAATAGTTGTTTCATGTTGGGGGCTCCCCTAAAAATTACTCTTGGTTTCTCTGGTAAAAAACTGGATAATAGAGGATCTTGTTTTAAAATTGGCCAATGTTTATCTAAGATTTTCCTAAGTTGTTTATTCCTATGGCTAAAATTGCAAATGATAGGTACATCTTGCCCCATATTATTCTTTATCTTTTAATAGGGAGTCCCTCTTTAGGTTTAAAACTTGGGTAAAACTTTTTGTTAAATACTCTTCCCTATACCCCTTTTCTAATAAGCTTTTCCTTAATCTCTCCACTTGTTCTATATATTTGTCATCCTCCGTACAATTCCTTCTGATTCGGAGGAGTTTGGATTTTGGAATGGCCTTCAGCCAAGGTGCAATGGCAGCTTGAGGTTTGTATAAAACTATTCACATCAACATTTTTGAAGTGCATGCTGGTTTTTTATCTTCTCTTTTATCTAAAAAGTTGACCAAATGTTTACTAAAATTTATAGTTAAAGATATACCCCAATAATTTTTATTTAATTTCTCAATCAAATTTTTCAAAGAATCTTCCGTACCCTTCCAAATAAAAAATGGCGATAGGTCACGAGGCCCTCCACCTAGCCCTCTCCATGATGTATAAATTGGAGCTCCCAATATGCCATAAAAAGATTGGCATAGCTGGATGCGAACCTCGTCCCCATTGCCATCCCACAGACCTGCAAATAAAAACTCCCGTCATACCAAAAATAATTATTTGTTAAAATAAGATGGATGCGTTCTATAATAAAATCAATGTTCTCTGGTTTAAAAAATTGTGATTGTTCTAAAAAGTGTCTGACCGCAGTGCAGCCCCTTTCGTGTGCATTAATGGTGTATAGGGAACTTACATAAGCGGTCACTAAAAAATAGTAATCTTCCTAAATCAATTCATTAAGATGTCTGAAGAGGCTACCTGTATCTTTACAATAACTTGGTATTTTTTGGACTATAGGTTGTAAACATTTGTCAATACACTCCGATAGTCTACAAGACAGGAACCCAATTCATGAGACTATCGGTCTCCCCGGGGGTTGGGTAGAATTCTTATGCACCTTTGGGAGGTGATAAAAAAAACTGGAATGTTAGTGAAGTCTACTTTAAAATAACCAAATTCTTTATTTTTCAAAATACCCTTTTCCTGGTCCCTCATTAGAAAATTATAAAACTTTCCTTTTAGGCCCCTTGTTGGATCCATTCCATATTTCTTTTATGTATTATCTCTCAGTAGTTTTTGGGAATCCTTGTTGTAGTCTTCTTAGGTCATAAGAACTATGCTGGTTTAATTATTATTGAATTATCTTTTTGAAAATTCAATAAGGTCCTCTGTTCATTTTTTTGTTTAGTTCTGTTGATATTTATTAGGTTTTCTAATCTTATTTACGTCTCTCATCACCATTTTCTCAAAGGTTATCTCACTGGATATTAAACCCTTTGGAAAAAAAGGTGGATTTTTCTTTTAATGTTGTATGCTTATAGTCATCCTCTCCCATATTGGAGTTGGTTATTATGAGATTCTTTTGAAAGTATTTTTTCAAACATAAGTTCCTCTTAAATCTATTTAAATCAACATACATCTCAAATGTATTTAAATTTGTTGTATGTGCGAATTGTAATCCTTTCTGTAATAACTCGATTTGGGATGTATTTACATCATGTGGGGTTAAATTGAAGATTCCCACTTGCTTTTCATTCTCTCTTTGATTTACAGATTCCATCTGTCTCTTTTTTTTCTCCTCTGTATACCCACTCCTCCTCTATCTCCCCTTCTCCGCCTCTTGTGTGAAGACCTCTGTTGGCAATAGGATTTTAGCTTCTCCCTGGTTCCTTAAGCTCCAAAAATTCTCCTCCCGTGGGGTCCCTACTAAAGCCTCATATCTGTTAGATAGAGATATATGGGATAATCTCCTTGCATTATTATGTATTTTGCTTTGATAAATCAAAAATTCACCAAGCTCTTTTTTTTCTGTTCTAATCAGTGTTTTTGTAGTTTCAGTGTCTCGAAACAACGGTTTTTGCACATGTGGATTTGCTACCTTATAATTTGTACCTCTTCTTTTGTCTTTCATCTATCTGGTTATCATTGTGTCTTGTCATATGGTATATAGGGCATACATTACTTCTACTCTCTTGTTTATTTCCAGAGTTATTACTTTTCTTTTTCCTATATGTGCCCACTTCATTCCTCCTGTAATCAGTTTTGTCCCTGATATACTATTTCTTTTTTATTTGAATAGTGTCTTTTTCTACCTTATCCAACCCGTGTTGTATGTTATCTGTGATTTTTTTTGTATTCCTCCAAATTGGTATGATTTAGTAGAAAATGTTGTTCCTTATTGATTTCTACATCCAAATTCTCTAAATTATATTTCCTTCTTGTAAATTATAGTTCTCATCATAGTGAGTAAAAAGGAATCTAACATCCCTGCCCATTCATTCATAAAAGACTTATCTTCCTGATCAAATAAAGGAAATTTGAAAAATCGCAACCCCCTTGGAGTTATTTTCTGCCGAATATATTTTTCCAGAGTGGCTATTTCCCATTTGATCCTCACTTCCTTGCTTAGAAGTTTTTCCAAATTTCTTTGGCAATCGGTTACAAATCTTTCCTCTATTCGATCAGTTTGATTGAAGAGAGTTTCCTCTCTGTGGTGTGAAGCTGCCTTAAGAGCATAAAAGTTCATTTTACAGAGCCAATATTTTATAGGCTCCATTACATGGGAGTGTGTCAGGATTATAGTTGATCCAGCATGCAGAATAGTATCACACCTAGGATAACGTCTAGCCGGACCTTAGAATGGTCAGACTTAACGTACCAGAGAATAGTCAAAATACTTGCTGAGGTCAGGGACACAGAACGAGACACAGCGATGAGGAAAGCCAAAGTAAGATACCAGAAATCAGGGAAGTCAGAACGAAGCCAAAGTCATATACCAGAAAAACGCAATCAGGAACACTCTC